AACTCTACTTGTCTATTTATAGTCGGCCTAATAGTAGATAAGACTCTAGAAATACTGGAGTCAGGCCATTTAATACTCACCATGTTTTTTTTAACTGTAGGTTGTAATTCCGAACTAATTCGGGACGTGCTAAAGCTCATTCATTCCTAGACAGATTTAATATAAATAAATAAATTGATGTTTTTTTCCACTGGAACACATCTGAGAAATCATTATTTCCACTGCTGTGCCAAAAGAAGTGCTTTAACATCCTGTCAATGTCCAAATGAAATGGAAATAATTGGGTTAAACAACCTGATTCCTGCACTCACTCTGGGATCAACTCTTACCTGATGTTATCTAGGGCATTTTTAAATCTTAGGAAATTTGATGAACTGCATTCATGTCTAAGTTTCTGACTAAGAGTAAAAGTGCAGTGGGTTAGGGTTAGTGATCGTTACTTTAATCTTTTCCCAAAGCCCCAGTTTTACTATATCATCAAAACACAGAATGAGGGATTGTGTTTTCAAACATTATTCTCCAGAGATGTGGAGAATATGTGTTCTATATGTATGTGAATCTGTGTTCTGGACAGTCGTGTCGGTCCAACTCCTGAGGATACTTTTCTATTTCAAAGATTCGTCACCCGTCTGTGTTTCACGTGTAACTGGAAACTCACGTCACTGATCCACTGGGTGAAGGAAGAAGTGCGAGTGAACACCGTGGGCTTCATGAGGGTGTTGCATCCTCGGGAGGAGACGAAGCTGGTCACACCCTGCACGTACCACTTGCCGTCACTGCCCCTGCAGTTCAGTGGACCGCCTGAGTCTCCCTGTAGAGACAGACAGAGGTCAAGTGAAGACTCGATACGACGAGAACCTGCTTGTGTTGCGATGACTCGATTAAAGGAAAGCTGCGTACGTGGCAGCCAGAGCGGATGTCACCGCCGCCGCAGATCATGGTGGTCTTCACAGTGCCCCCCCACCAGCTGCTGCTGCTGCAGACGCTGTGGCCGACCACAGGAAGAAGAGCCTGCTGGAGCTTGGAGGCAATGGGACCACCGCCTGCAGGAGGGACATGGTTGTTAAGAAAAAATTAATGAAACCGAAAAATTCAGATGCAAATAATACAAATATGGTTAAAATACTTCAGTACAGGGGCAGACTGTGCTCATGGGTATTTAGAGGAGGAAAGGAAGGACAATATAATTCATTTTCTTGCTAAGAGTTAGATGAGGAAATTGATACAACTCTGATGTCTGTACAGGAAATCAGTCTATAGCCAGAAGACTATTTAGCTTAGCTAAGCATAAAGACTGGAAACAGGGGGAAATAGCTAGCCTGGCACTATCCTAAGTTTAACAATCAGCCTACCAGCACCTCTAAAGCGCATTCATTAACACACATCTTGTTTATTTTATCCACACACAAGCAAGAATGAGTGAAATCAATGGTGTTAAAAAGTAAGGATAAAAGTATAAATGAGAAAAAAAATGGTTTGATATAATTTTGCTTTGTTTTCTTAATTCTTATGTCAACATGGTCTTAAATCTGAATATCAGTCTGGTTAAATACT